AGTCCTGTCTTCAGCAGTAGGGTCTTCCCTTTGAGTCCTGGGAGATAAGCAATGGCTCTGGCAATAGCATGTGGTGTTTTGGGAATCTCTTGAACTACTCTGACTAACCACTCAAAGGGAGGTCTCTCCTGTCTGGCTCTGTGCTCCTTGCCATACACATGATCTGACATTCAGACACCCTATGTGTATTTCTCAGGGGGTTCTAAAGTCAACACAATCCCCATGCTACCCATGATCTATTCATCCGTCAATGTTTTATTTCAACCTAGATGTTTATCAGCAGAAGAGTAGTTAAAGAAAATGTGGACAGGGGCTGGAGATACAGCTCAGTGGTTAAGAACACTGGCTGCCTTTTTCAAAATACCCAGGTTTGGTCCCCAGCACCTTTATGGTGGCGAACAACCATCCCTACCTTCCCCTCCATTGGATCCAATGCCCTCTTCTGGCCTCTGAGTGCATTGCATGACATGGGTGCACTTAAATACATGCAGGCAAAGCACTGATGCACATAACAGTTATGAAGTAGAAGTGGAAGTGTTGCCTACGTGGGATAAGGAAGGAAGCCAGAAGGAGAGAGGCAGGGGGGCATGGTGAAAGGCAATGGGGGAGGGAGGTACAAAGAACTAAGAACAAAGGGTACTGACATATACATATGGAAAATTCCATAATGAAGCACATTGTTTCACTTGCTGTCTTAAAAGTTAGCAAAGCAGAATTAAAACATAACTGTTATTCAGTAAATTAGGTCATATATTCATTCAAATTATAAAATTATGGTGATTGTAGATATTGATAAACCAAATCTAAAGTATTTGTCTATTTATTTATTTATTTATTTATTTATTTACTTATATTTTTGGCCTTTTTGAGACAAGGTATCCCTATGACCCCAGCTGGATGTGAACTCACTATTGCAGACCAGGCTGGCCCCAATGTCACAGAGATCAGCCTGCCTCTACCTCCCAAGTGCTGGGATTAAAGGCATGTACCATCATGCCTGGCACATAATCTAAAGTTTATATGGAGTTGAATACAAGTGGAAAATGAGATATAGTTTTAATAAACAAAACAAAGTTTTATTATTTGTGATATATGCTTTTAAATGTATATATTCACAATAATCACAATTTTTGATACTTATGGTTTGTGGCTTTTGTGCTCACACCTATTTTTTTTTCTATCCCCAGATTAAAATATTTTCTCATTCATTTACCATTAAAAATTCTATTTTTCTTTAGTATTTATATCTATGACACATTTTGTGTTAATTTTCTTGTATAGTACAATGTAAGGTGTAGTGAGGCATTCTGCTAGCGACTGCTGGGTCCAAAATGGGGTCTATATTGGTGGGCCTGATACAAGTGTTTTAGCAAAAGCGGATGCTGTGTGGTGTCTGGATGACTGCATTATTTCTAGTTCCATGTTATTTGGGGCTGGTGCAGGGATATGGGTCTACTTCAAAGTCTGAAGATTCTAGGCCAGTTACAATCTGAAAGAACAGGTGTGTCATCCTCAAGGGTTCCTCCTGGATCAGTGGGTCAGTCTCTGGACAGGTAGAATTGTCAGAGTGTGTGGTTGAGAGATGCTGATTTAGCAAACATTCAGGGTCCTTGTTCCAGCGCTGAAATGAGGCTAAGGGCTTCAGGTCTGTCTCTATAATAAGACATCTGACTCTCCCAAAATGTTTGGGATCTGTTATTAGAATGCAATTGAGAGAGGCTGTAGACAAGCTATAGGGTCATTTCAAGATCCGCAGTGAGCCCTACTTCAGTTGGTCAATATTTAAGGGCAGAGTATATGTTGTTGGCCTTATGTTGAAGACTATAAACAATTGTGTGACAAGTCTTAGAAGGAGCATGGAATAAAGACTGGGGCAAGAATTTAAGCAGCTTGGCCCTGAATGGAATTGGAGGGCAGGCAATGATGGTTGTGTACTGCGAAATAAATCATATTCAGATACCCTGCCTTCTAGAAGTTTTCAAAAAAGGGTGACAATATTAACCCTTAATACATGTAAGGGATGATGCAGGATATAGAGTGATTTGAGTCAAGTATTTAAGGGTCTTATCACCTGCTGTTTCAATGCACTGTGGATGCTCAGGTGCCTCAGAGAGCTTCTTAAGTTGTTATACTGAGGAATGAGAAGAAAGATGTTCAGGACACCTAGAAAGAACATCTATGTACACAGAGTCATCTTGGAGCAAAAGGTCAAAGTAATTAGTTTGTTATTATTATTCCATCTTTCAATTCCAATGCAGTTTTTCTTTTTTAAACTTTGTTTATTATTTTTATTTTATATGTATGAGTCTATTGCCTGTATGTATGTAAGTGCACCATGTTGTGCAATGCCTGCGGAGGTTAGAAGAGGATATTGGATCCCCTGGAACTGGAGTTACAGATGATTGTTAGCTACCATGTGGGTACTGGGATTTGAACCCAGGTCCTCTGCAAGAGAAGTCAGTGCTCTTAACAGCTGAGCCATCTCTTCAACACCCCAATGCAGTTTTTCAATTTGATTTAAAGTTTAATTGGGAGTGTCATTGTACAATCAATTAAACAGTTAAGTTCTTTGTTCTGAATGTCAGATATTCTTCTGGGAAATCAAGAACTGTTTCTTTCATTTTCAGTAAACAAAGAAAAAAGAACTTCAGTGGACATCATGGCCTATAGATGTCCCCTGGGGAAGGCTAGCCAGGCTTAATGAGTCACCTGGTTCTGTATGTTATTTCTGTATAACAAACCTGAAGACCTTTCTCCCAAAGGGGCATGTGGTAATATCCTCGAAGGACTTGTCATGTTTGATGAGAACCCACTTTTCTTCCCCACCATACTCAAAGACACCTAGCATCGTCTTCACTGAACAAGTGTCTCTGCGTTCCTCCACTAGTGGGTACATTCGATTGTTCATAGTATAGAGAAGTCAGGCTGAAATACCTACAAAAGTAAATGGAATACATCTACTTAACAAAATCTGCTCTGGAGCTCCACATCAGTACTCTGCTTCTAAATGGTGAGTGGGAGATGCATGGATTTCCTTAAGATGATTTTTTTTTTGTTTGCTCAACAAAAAACTGAAATTAATGAACTACTTTCACCAGTTTTAGCCCTTGGCCCCTGTGGAAACAATGCTCCTAGCAACAGAGGCGGTGGGCAGTTCTTGTCCTGGCACACCTAGACTAGTCTTCCCAGGAACCCCAGTATAGTACGGATATGGTATGTGGCAGCCAAAACCATCACTGAAGGGAAATCTGAAGAAAACTCCCGGTACTTAGGTTGGATTAAGCTCATGTCCTATGCCCCTGTTTATCATCACAAGTGACTGATGTACTGAAGGGAAGGGATATTTGAGTGGTTAGAGTCTTTGACCCATGGAAGAGATGTAAATTCTAGTGGAAAGCTCTGGAATGTAAGTGTGTAATGAAGAGAAAAAGGACAAGAATCAGTAAGAATATACACATAAGGATGTCTTAGTCCAGCTATCTGTAAGGGTAGAGCAGAGCCTATATGTACTTTAGATTTGTGGTAAAAAATACCCTGTTGTGTGGAAAATATAATTACACTGTCCTTCTAAACATGAAATAATTGAAGCTATCTATATATCACATTAATTTAATTAAAAAAGTCTTTTAACCTTGTTGTACAACCAAATGTCACTTCACAGATATAATTTCTTTAATTTAACAACAAAACTGCACGGTAGGGACAAATACATCATTGTATAAGCACAAGAACTGAGAGCCATAGAGATCCTCATGAGCAAATTTACTCAGATGGCGAGTGTGAGATCCTGAATCTGCCTTGCCTAACTCCATTTCCTGTGACTCTGCAGTGAGCACAGATCAACTTTTAATGCTATGAGTTATGATTGAGGCAGAAAGGATAGAGCTCAAATGCTAGTCAGAGCTTTTATTCCTCAGACTCAAATATTTTCAGAATCTGAAAAGGGGGGTTTTGAGGGACCTGACAGGCTTTTAACAGATGAAATACACAAAGGAACTATGGATGTTTAGTATTAGAAAAGGGAAGGGTGTGGAAACATGATAACTATGTTTAAATGTTTCAGAGATTATATGTAGAAAGTAGATGGCTCGTACTATTAAATTCATGAGCATTGTAGAGTAAGTAATCTTGAAGGATGAGGACAAGTCACTCAGGGTAATGATGGACAGCTGGGTCAGTGCGAGTGATATAAGGAAGGGTCCCAAGACACAAGTCATATGTAAGGATAGATCGGTGGTACACTGTGATAATGAGGCTAGAGCTAATCATTAAGGTATGACAAAACAGTGAAAGTGTTACATGGATTATTTTGGTATCATTTGCCTTTACTAGCAAGACGTCTCTATTTCATGTTATTGGTAATTGTAAAAGGAAAATAATGAAATGAAAGGACTAAATGAAACAAAATACAGAGTGAAAAGGACCAGGGCTTGGCTATTCTGGGAAATAAACAAGGAGATGAAATGATAACACTGGGAAATGAATAATAGATGATTAAAGAATTTTATGAGGGGAGGAAAGGTAGGGAGTCTCCCAAGTTGTAGACATGGGATTCTGACGGTCATTCTCATACAATGTACGTGGAATGGTTGAGGAAAAGGGGCAGACAGGGCATGAGCTGTTTACCGAATTTCCAGCAGGTTATTTTGCATGATGAAAATTGTTATAGATCATGGAAATTATGAACCAAGACTGTGGGGGAGATACCTTTGGAATCAAGTTTTGAGGGATACTTTGTATATATTACATGAAAGAAAAAGATGACAACTGAGACGGCAGGGTGAGAGTTAATGATTCTCATATTTTTTGTTTTTTTGTAAGGAGGAAGGGGCTAAAACCTCAATATTGCAACACTGATATTTCTGGGTTGCAAATTGGACAGAGAAAGAGATTACTATAATGAACCTGAGGAATTATTAAAGAAAAAGCAATGTGAAGAATGGAAACATTAAGCAATTGAATTTTCTCATTTCTCTCAACAGGGACGTTTCTCACAAGAGATGAAGTTTGCAAACCACACCTCTGTGACAGAATTCATTCTTTTGGGGTTAACAGAGGACCCTAAACTGTGTGCAGTGTTCTTTATGATATTTCTAGGGGTGTATGCTGTCATTTTAGTGGGCAACATCAGCATCATCACGCTAATAAGAAACTGTCCCCAGCTCCATACCCCTATGTACCTGTTCCTTAGCCACCTGGCTTTTGTGGACATTGGGTTTTCCTCATCAGTCACACCTATTATGCTTATGGGGTTCCTGAAAAATGGAATGGCCCTTCCTGTGGCTGGCTGTGAAGCCCAACTCTGTGTCACAGTGTCGTTTGGATCTACTGAGTGCTTTCTTCTGGCCACTATGGCCTATGACCGTTATGTGGCCATCTGCTCGCCCCTGCTCTACTCCACACGCATGTCTCCCAGGGTCTGCTTTCTCTTGGTTGGGGTTTCCTACATGTGTGGCTTTGTGAATGGATGTACTTTTGTTAGTAGTGCATTAGGTCTATCCTTCTGTGGGCCAAATCAGGTAGATCATTTTTTCTGTGACTTTGCCCCTTTAGTGAAACTTTCTTGCTCGGATGTCTCCATTATTGGGATTATACCCTCTATCTCTTCTGGATTTGTCATTTCAACAACAGTGTTTGTCATAGGTGTCTCCTACATCTACATCCTCATCACCATCCTGAAGATGCGCTCCACTGAGGGCCGCCACAAAGCCTTCTCCACCTGCACCTCCCACCTCACTGCAGTCACTCTGTACTATGGAACTATTACCTTCATTTATGTGATGCCCAAATCCAGCTACTCCACTGAGCAGAACAAGATAGTATCCGTGTTCTACACAGTGATGATCCCCATGTTGAACCCCCTCATCTACAGTCTGAGGAACAGAGACGTAAAGGAGGCCCTGAGGAAGGCAACTCTCAGAGTATATTCATAACAAACTTTTCTTTGAACTCAAGAATGCTGTAAAGATTTCATTTAGCCATGTTGTTCTTAGTTTCTAACCCATCTGCTTAACTGATTGCTTAATATTAAATCCTATTTCTCTCTTCTAAGTCATACCTTTTCTTATGCATGCCTATATATTTGAGGACCCCTTAAAGTCTGCAATTAATGATAGTAGTAATAATTACTATTGTGGAATTCCTGTAGATGTCAAAACTTTCCTTTATTTGTGTAACAAACAAAAATTTGTATTTGCTATGTGTCAGGCCAAAATCTAAATCTATTGCACACATGAACTCATTTATTTCCCGTGACAACCTAATTGAGTATCGCCATTATTTTTATATTGCAAATTTGGGCAAAGAGAGAAAGTAGACAAAACGCATAGTCATGAATACAAATAGAAATGAGATTATTTGAACCCAGGAACTTAGTTTCCCAAAGCCTTTGGCTTCTATGCTAAATTCTTTTTACAGCAAATCTATGAAAATGACATCATGAAATCCTCTCAATTCACAGATGAGAAAAGTAAGAGTAATGAGTTCCATCCTGACTCTGCTCCATGCACTTAACCTAGACTCCATACAATCCATCCAATGATATGAGCACTGTTGTGATACTGAGGATGCATCTGTGGTTAGCAAGCCTAAGTTGGTACAAGAAAGGGTATACTAGAAATATTACTATAGGTTATACCACATATTTCCTTGTGGAAAGGAACTTCTCTACTAACATGATTATCATTTTGAGACTACATGGGCTTAGGAGAGATTTGTTGGACTATGGAAACTACAAAGTACATACTGAAACAATTGTTTATGACACCTGGAAGGAAGACTTAGAATCCTTTTCTTCATGGTGTTGGGGGTTAAAATATGAAATTTTATGAGATATTAAAAACACTATTAAAAATGGAAAATATTCGTGTCATTATTAGCTGGAACTGTGGAGCATAATGCTTTTTCTTTATTTTTTTATATTTTATTATTTTTATTTTATGTGTATGAGTATATTGCCTGCATGTGTATAAGTGCACCCGTATCATGCAGTGCCTGGGGTGGTCAGAAAAAGGCATTGGGTCCCCTGGAACTGGAGCTGCAGATGGTTGTTAACTGCCATGAGGGTGCTGGGAATCGAACCCGGGTCCTCTTCAAGAGCAGTCATCTCTCCAGCCCCCATAATGCTTTTTCTACAACAAATACTTTCATTGAATTTTTGTGAATTTAATACATCTCAATCACTATTTAGAAGCCTTCCCCTAGCTGCACCCCGCATATCCCCTGAAATATTTCTTGTATTCTGTCAATATGTTAAGGCATATTGAGTCAAGTTTGTGTCCCCAGATGTCTCTCAGTGTGGGTTCATCCACTGGAGCCTGGTTGGTCTATCTAGAGTCACTCTCTTAAGGAAGACTAACTCACCCTCACCTAGCCAACAGTTCCTCAGCTAAGGTTGGGGCTTCTTATCCATTTTCCCAGTTCAATGCTTTCACAGTGAAAAAGAGCAACAAATGAAAGCCAATAATGATCAGTTCCACAGGAAATGAGGAGAAAGCATTGTTCTGGGCTTTAACATTTTCCCATTTTAATATTTTATTTACAATAAGGAATACAAAATAAAAAACTTAAGAAATACTTATGAAGGACTTGTCTCGCAGTTGCACTAAGTACCAAGTAGCTGCTCAGGCAGCTCACAGATGTCCGGATTTCCCTTTTGAACGCTCAGAGGATATTGTACTTTTCATTCAGGGAGGGCAGAGCTATAGGCAGTAAGAGCATCAATAACATGTAAAGATACCCCTCTCCCCTTTCACATAAGAGGGGTGCAGAACCCAGTGTTGTTGAAGGCAAGTCTGTTCACCATGATCATTTACTGAACATTTATTAAGAGCCAGACATTGTGCTGTTACCAAAAATCTAAAGCACCATTGGACCTCTGAGACTTGTATATTGTTCAGCACCCATGTATTTCCTTGTCTAGAAGTAATTTGTTGGTTACATTTATACATTTATACATTATATTATTAATATATAATAGTATTAAGTCCAGTGATGTGCCATAGGCTGTACTTTTCCCAGCCAGTGCTGTGGAATCACACTTCTGGAGAGGAGAGCTCTTACAACATGATTAAAAGATGGCTGAAAGATGATTAGTACACTGGTGAGGTGTTGCAGACCTAAGAAGCAGCAGGTGGGAAGGAGAGTTGGAGACAGACAGTGTCAATAGGAAATGGTTTATGGAAAGCTGTGAACTGCATATGAAGGTGTTTATTCCGAGAGGAACAATAGAAAGCCCTCATGAAAGACAGTACAATTATAGAGGTGTTAGGATCACTTTAAAAACAAACTGAAGCTAAATTTTGAGGGTGACTGGTGTGCAGACAATTCTAATACTCTAGGAGACAGATATCATATTAACCCATTTTTTATAGAAAGTAGTAAATAAGAAATGAAGTTTAAAAACAATTAGAAAAGAGTCCTGGCAGGCCATGCTGACTGTTGTGTAGGAAGCAATGAGAGACATGGAGAAGTTAGGATGACTACCACGGAGTATGTCTTCAGCATTTGTGACTTCTCTCACTGCACTCTATCATCATAGGAGTGGATGATGCTGTGAAATTCAAGGCGTTACCACAGAAGAAAGGTGCCTTAAGTCCACATAGACCAGCTCTCTTCAACCTCCCCTTGCTTGCACCCTACATCTCCCTGCTTTTTTATTATTTTATAATTTGAGGATACCATATATTAGTACTATATTTACAACATTCCCACCCACCCTCCTCTTCCTGTTCCAACTCCTTCTAGGCTCCCATGACTCCCTCTCTGCCGGGGGTTTGAACCAGCGACCCCCGGGCAGTGATGATTGGGGATGAGTAAGCACGCTGTTCACCAGCCCACGCTGCCCCCAGTACTGGGAACACTCAGGTGCAAAGGGGAGCCTAGTCAAGCAGGGACTCATTTATTGCAGGTGTTACAGAGCTTATAAAGGCACCTGGAAATTCCCCCTCCGTCCTGAGGGTGTATCTTAAGGATGGTCACTTGCAGATCATGCGCTCCTCAACAGTGCGGAAGTATTCTTCAGACTTTCAAAGTAAGTTAGGCCGTGCCCCAGTAACTTCCTCTTGGACTTCTGCAAGGTGGGGCCTTTAGGTCCCCACACCTCTCAATTTTGTGACCTCTTCTTTAATTATTGTTGTTACATATATATCTATTTGTAAATATACATACATGCATACATACACACACATATAATCTTCTGAGACCATTTGGTGCTGTTTGCATATATTTGTATTTAGGGCTGACCATTTGGGACTGGATAACCTATCAGAGAACTCCTCCCTGGAGAAAATTGGTTCTCTCTCCTTCACAGTCACTGATTACCTGTAGCTCTTCATCTAGAAGTAGGACTGTGAAATTTCCCTACTCCACATTAACTTGTCAGCTGGTGTTTCATTATGCAGATTTTGTTTAGGCAACCGTATTGTTGAGATTTCAGGGTAAAGCTTCCTTATGTCTAGGGAAGACGCTATCTAGCATCAGGCACACTGGTCCTCTGGCTCTTAAAATCTTTCTGCCCCTTTCCTTCACCACATCCTCTGGGCCTTAAGTATAGGGGTTGCATTGTAGATGTATAAACTGGGGTTGGGCTCCCCATGGTCACTTATTCTCTGCATTTTTCCCAGTTGTAGAACTCTGTAATAGTTGCTGCAATAATTCTGTTGAAAAAAGAAACATTTTTGATGAGTGTTGAGAGCCACACTGAGTTGTGGATATAAGGATAAGCATGTAGTAGATAGTTTGAAATTATATTGGTTTAGGAAAGTGGCAGTAGCAGGTTCTCCTCTTGGGTCTGTAATCTCTCTATCCACAGTTATTTGACTACATTTACAGTCCCAGTCAAGAATTCTCTCATATTGAGTTAGATTTTACATGAACTTAGATTGCTGTTGGTATCCCTCAAGATAAAAGAGGTACTTTTCTTGGGGATTACTGACAGCTACTGACCTGCAACTACTTCCCCTGAAGGCTAGCTCTCATAGCTTTGGAGAGCACTATGGCGGTGCCAAGAGAAAACATCAGTGGATGATCCAACACCAGCTTCAAGACCAAATAACCACATCGATGGCCAGCATAGCATGCATTGTGCAGTAGAGGCACTTTTATCTTGGGGGCAATCAACAGCTACCTAATTTGACTAAAAGCCCACTCAAAGGGAGGAAACTCAAGTGTGGTAATGTAAATATAACCCAATACACATAGCTGGAGTGGCCATAGATCTTAGAGAAAACCCCAAGACTGTCATATCACTATACTAATATGATTTCTTTCTATGTGCAAAATATGTATCCTTATATTTACAGACAAATATCCCAGTCACCACTCATCAAAGAAGCTCATTTTATACCCATCAGAGTCTATTACCGAGTGCCACAACTAGTCACATACAGACATTGTCTATGAAGTGCCCAGGCCTAAATGACACATCCACAATGCAACCTCTATACCTAAAGCTTATGGAAAATAGAACAGGGATAAAGAAGAGGGCACTATTGAATCTTGCAGTTCTCAATAATGAAGGTCTCTCATGCAGCAGAGGGCCAGGAACACAAAAGGTTACAAATAGCCAAAGTGTAGAGATCAAAAGTCTGTTGAATGATGGTCCTTGGACAGGATCCCTTTATTAAATGTCACCCACCCAAGGCCCAGGGACCAACACGGAAGAGGGAGCGGAAGAACTGTAAGAGCCAGGGAGGAGGTGCAGGACCATATGGAAACAGAGTCCTACAAGCTCCTGGAACCCTTGCTCATATGATTCTAAGGCAATGGTGTCAGAATACACAAGTCCAATGCAAACTCAGGCAGATAATAACCCAGCATAGAGCTGGGAAAATAAGAAGCAGATCCCAATCTTATCTGAGGGAGTGATGGCAACTGATTGCTGCTAGGTGAAGAAAAGCTGATCTTCCTAAAACAAGGGGCTCTAATTAGGCTG